TTCATTTGTGTATACTATCTATATATTGTAATTTAGAGGTAGGACACGAGGATTAAGGAACATAGAACCCATGAGACTTATTTAGAAAAATATCTGGATAAGCAATTATAACTGTAAGGAATTCATGTTTCTATTTAACATACACATAGGATTGTAACTGAGTGAAAACAAAAAAAATTAAAAAGTTTAAAATTAAACCCATTTTGTTGTCTAAATAACCAATCCACGATATTGCGTCACCGTCCACTATTGTCTTGAGTGATTAACTGACAACGAACAGACACGGTTGAACTCTACTGGTCACAGCTTCTCACTAGAACTCCAGGAAAATCGTCTTGAAGTCAGTCACTAGTGAACCCATAATAATAATCATCAATGGTAGTCTAGCTCAAATCAACTCATGAATTCAAATATTAAGATCATTTAGAGATTGAAGATATATCTTGCTGATATATGTTACCATTGAGCTAAGGTCACATTAGACTTTCAGTTAAATGCTTTCAACTATCTTACAAATTGTTAACTACATTTCATCATAGAACCAACAGTTTTCATTTCATAACATTTAACTACTTAGATAAATATCTATCTCATGAGATATTCTAGAATCTCCTTACTAGATTCAAAGTGTCAGTTGAATTATCCAGTAAAGTTTTCTTACCATAGTTACAACTTATATCTTACAAACTGTTGAATTTTTTATTCAATAACCAAAAAAGAATGAAAATACTACTAATATTAGTCAAAGTCCTGAACAGAAAGATTGTGAATACCACATTCTCCTGTTGTCATGGTACAGTTGAAATCGATAAACGATGCATAATAGTTTAATTAGCTCATTAAAATTATCATAATCATTTGTTTAGACATGAGATGTATGCAGAATTAATGAGTTTCAGTCTGACTGATGAAAAAAATATTCAACTGAAGTGATGAATACAACTTTCTTTAGTTCACTCTATTAGAAGTTTTCTATTGTTATATTTCAATAATCATTTTAATAGTAGTAATCATTTGAAGCGAACGGTACTGTGTTCGAGTCCTGGAGTGGGAATCAACTCTGGGATGCAGGTACATTCGGTTGACGAGTCTCAAATAGGACGAAACAAGAGTCTTGGATTCCACAGTTAAACACCATCCATCTTTGCTTATAATCATTGGGAAGATTCAAACAAACGATACCAAATGAGTGGTTATATCGGTTCGTTTTTTATCAAACAACGATACTATCAAATTACTATCTTATTTGGCAACAATAAATAAAAACCTATTGTATCAATTGAATTCAGTAGATTATATTTCTTATTACGATCCTCAGGCAAAGTGACTTTACAACAAATAAACAGTAGGCATCTTGAATATTTCAGTAATGACAGTATGATGCAAGACATTCAATCTTGGTCGTTTGGACAGGGTTGTTTTTGAGGCTGCTTTTCCGGAATAATTTCAATTGAAGTACTGAATATATTTGAACAAGGATTTTTGTTATGAATTAACGTTCATGGATCGTGGATGTGCACTGCTGAGGTGTCCCATAATAGGACGAAACGGCCGTCCATTGCTTCAAGGTTTTCCATGGTGGTCTAGCTTCAATTGACTCATGATTTCAACTATGAAAATTATGTTTATTATTATTTACTATTTCATATTTAATGAGTTACTTAATCGATAAATTGTACTTTTTTTATTTACATTAATTATTAGTTATATCATTGACCTACTGTTATGAGTACAACCTCACAGTATGTGGTACATCTAGCTAAGTACCAAATAGAAGAAGATTAACTAATTTAAGGAACCATAGTATAAATTTGATTGAAAGAAATATATTCATAAGTAAATCTTTATACAAATGGTGTCATATATGTTACTTACATACTTAGGATTGTTACCCTTCATGGTGGAGTGTGGTGTGGGTTACTTATATCCACATTAGTAGTATATAACGATGATCAAGCATGCAATGCATTTCAGTAGAAGATCGATAAAGAAAGAACGGGAAAGAAACGCAATTGGTATGAAATTACGTGAACAATAATAATCGGAGACTATGGAGAAGGAACAATCAAGATTGAGACAATTAATTGATAATTTTCAAATTAACTGTTTACTGTATGGTTGTTAGATTTTAGTCAGATATTCTGTAATTTTGTGCTCAAATACATTCGATTGTCCCCACTCGTGTTCTTATTTACTACAGAGCATAGGCCATCCAACACTGTCCTGGGTAATCCTTTCCAGTTACTATTCATTCTTTTCATATGTGCTTTCAATTCTCGACGAAGTGTGTTTTTTATCATCCTCTTTTCTGTTTATCTTTAAGATTTTCAATTTAAGACTTGCCTCGTGATATGGTTTATATATGAACAGATCAACAATAAATGTATTTTAAAAAAACGCTCACGTACAATGAATTAATACTGTTAGAAAACAGATTACAACTACATTACAATTACAAAATATTAATCAATATAGCTAAATGGATAATCCAAACCATGATGCATGGAGGACAGCTGATAAATACATTTCCAGTAAGGACCGGAGTCAGACAAAACTGTCTACTCTTCACATTCCTCTTCCTTCTGGTGATTGATTGGATTATGAAGATCTCGACATCTGAGGGGATGCACGGAATACAATGGACATCTCAGAATCAATTTGACAGTTTGGACTTTGCAGATGACCTCTAGCCCTCCTATCTCATACACGTGAACAAACACAGACGAAGACAGCAAATGTAACAGCAGCCTCTGCATCGACAGGCCTCCACATTCACAAAGGAAAATGCAAGATTCTCAAATACAACACGGATAACACCAACTCAGTCACAATAGATGGCGAAACTCTGGAGAGGTGGAAACATTCACGTGTCTGGAAAGCATCATTGATGAACAAGGAAGATCTGATGCAAATATAAAGGCGAGGATTGGCGAAACAAGAGCAACATTCCTACAATTGAAGAACATATGGAACTGAAAACAACTACTTGTCAACCAATATCTTCAAAACGAACGTCAAGACAGTCCTACTATGCACAACTGAAACGTGGAGAACTACTACATTCATCGTCAAGAAGGTACAAGTATTTGTAAACAGTTGTCTACGCAAAATATTCAATATTCACTTGTCGGATACTATCAGCAACAGTCAACTGTGAGAGAGGACAAACCAGCTTCCATCTGAAGAGGAAATTAGGAAAAGATGTTGGAAGTGGATAGGACATACATTAAGGAAATCACCAAACTGCATCACAAGGCAAACCCTAACTTGGAATGGTGAAGGGAAGCGGAAAAAAAGAAGGTCAAAGAACACCTTAAGCCGAGAAATAGAAGCATATATGAAAGGATGAATGTTAACTGGAAAGAACTGGAAAGGATTGTTTGGGACAGGGTTGGGTGAAGAATGGTAGTGTGCGGTCTATGCTCCTCCATGAAGAGTAACAGGCGTATGTAAGTAAGTAAGTAGGTAAGTAAGAATCTAAACTAGACTAATATTATCTAACTGTAAAGATCCTATATCTTATCTAAAAAGTATTGGCTTACATAATGATTTTTGTTTAATATACAACAAAACAGTAACTAAGATCCCTGATTGAATGTATTACATATTAATCCCAATTATATGACTCTATTAATTTTCCCTTTTATCTTTCACCCAATACTATCATCTTTATTGCCTTGTATCCCAATGATGTAATTTACTCTGTCAGATTTATGTTTCCATGACCATTGTACTACTTTCTTGTCCCGTTTTTTTTCGATTCTCTCAGTATTTGCATATGCTTATAAATTGATTTATATTTTCCTGTTAATCTCTTTACCTGTCCGTATTATATCTTATGGCCTGAATACCCTATAAATGTATAACGGGACACAAACCTACAAGATATAACTGTCCGTCTATACAATTCTCTGTCTAGTTGTTACCATATTGACATCAATAATAATTGACTTATTTGTTAATTCTTTTTAAAAAAACCTACTTATGAGATATCGTAAAGAGAAACTGTACTGTGGAAAATGGATAATTTTGTTTGTTATTGTAATGATGATGTTTTGTTCTTTGACTTGGATAGTTTGGTTATGGAGTTTTCATCGTTCTTGTGAATAACACCGTCGGCATCGATTTCAGATGGAACAAAACTTCATCAAAATCATCCAGCTCAGCTACAAATTTTCTTCATCATCTCGAAAGTAAACTTGATAATGAAGTATAAGAATTTTATTAGTTGAAATTATGAGTCAATTGAAGCTAGACCACCATAGAAAACCTAGGAGCACTAGATGGTTGTTTCGTCCAATTGTGGGACTCTTCTGCATTGTGCATTCATAATCCAAGTTTTCCATAGTAGTCTAACTTCAAGTGACTCATGATGTCAACTATCAAAATTACTATAATATCCACAAAAACCTCTTCTGAAATCAAAATAATTACTTTATTTAACCTAAATACCTTAAGAGTTTCAGTTATAAATTCACTTGGTATTGCTTAGTTGAATCTTCCCATTGATATTTAGGACTGCAATCGATCAGTCTCTTATTGGCATATGTGCATCCTGTGAATGTTGCCTCGATATAGCCTTAATTCACAAGGATTATAAGCAAAGATGGATAGTGGCTAGTAATGGAATTCAGGATGCGTGTTTCGTCCTATTCGGGACTCGTCAACTGGATGTGCCTGCATCTCAGAGTTGATGTTCACTCTGGGACTCGAACCCAATACCGTTAGCTTCAAATGCCACTTACAATGCTTATAATGATTGTAACTTGAGTCAATAATGAGGTGATCCGCACAGTGTGCACATATGCCAACAAAAGACTGATCAATTGCAGTCCTAAACATCAATGTGAAGATTCAATCAAACAATATCAAGTGCATTTAAAAGAACACTCCGTCTTGATATATTTTAAATAGTATTCATGAGAATGCTATTAAATAGTAAGACATTAATCAGATCTTTCTGTTTTTGCTTTTGTATTTTGCTTATCTTCATCTGATAGAAGGAACAACTTTACATTACCGGTGGACAATTAGTAAATAGTGATCATATACAATTTGCCAATATATTGATTGAAGATGGAAAAATTGTGTAAGTATTCAAAAGTTGAAGGATACTGTTATAACTATTTATATTTAAGTTGTTTTTTTTATACAATTGTATTGAAAGGTTAGATCAGTCAGTCAGTCACAACGTAGAACTTCGTACGTACGTACATCAGTTCGAGTTGCCATACCACATTACCACAGAGATACGGTTGTCGATTCAAATCCCGTAGTGGTAGAAGTAGTAAGAGTATAAGCATTAGGTTAGGCTAATAATTGATATTGAACTAATTTTTAGACTTTCAACCTACTTTCAATAAATGAGTCAAATGTGTTAGTTAGTTACTTACTTACTTAAGCCTGTTACTCCCAATGGAGCATAGGCCGCCGACCAGCATTCTCCTGGTTAGCGCTTTTTAGCGATTTGGTTTTCTATGGGATGAGGTAGATAACCCCATGCCCAACCCTCCTCCTTTACCTGGGCTTTGGACTGGCAGTAGCCCCCGGAGGAGCTACAGGCAGAGTTGAAATATGATAAAGTATAATGATTTAAAAGTTTATTATCAGTCGTTAGATCTTTCATCATCTTCAATGTAAATACATTCACATGTAAGGTCGCTTTCCAGATTTTTCCAAAGCTACTACTTAGTATCAGTGATTAGGAACTACCAAGTAATGGGTAAAGTGGAAAATCTCTTCTTAGTGGAATTGAATATTGATATTGACAAAATTGTGTTACAACATAAACGTAGAAGTTGCTAAGAATACAACTATTTACTGAATCCGTTAATAAGTAGTATAAGAATCGAAGGGAAGTGGATAAAAACGGAGAACGTGAAAACAGACTTAACACAAAATGTGTGACGATACTTCGTATGCCTCAACAATAGTGTGTTCATTAATTCGATTACCATATACGCTATGAACAACAGCTCTGTAAAAACTTTTCAAGTTTATAACCAATCAATCAGAATACCAAAACATTAGATGGATCACTCTCAATTAGCTAAACAATAAACGATTTCATTCTGTCTAATTCCTAGTTTAGACCAAACTTTATTGGCTAAATTAACAATGTGGAAACTAGTATAAGTGAAACAATATCATGATATCAGACAGTCATGGTCAACGTAGATCTAGAGGAAGCTAAAGAATAAACCCCGTGTGCTCTTCTATGGTCATTTCGGAGACATATCATCCAAACTCATGATGTAATTTGTTTCTTATATTAAGTAGTTGTTGAAAGTTGACAGAAATAAGGGTAGCTGCGTCTCATTCTGGTTATTACTTATTATCAAGCCTCATGCATGAGATTTCATCAGCGGTCGAGTTGCTAGTTGACTTCAATCATCTACCATTTACCACATCTTATTTAATAAAGAGACTTGAAATTTGCTAATCTTTATTTGATTAATCAATGAATAATTTAAATTTATGTTGTTCCAATTTGTAACAAATTAGGTCAAACGGCACAAACATTGAAGTTCAGCCAGATACTCCAACACTTGATGCTACTGGAATGTTAATTATGCCAGGTGGAATTGATATGTCTACTTATTTAATACAAGATATTCATTCGATTGATACAGAAGCCTATATAAATTATACAAAAGAGGCTTTACTTGGTGGAACTACAACAATTGGTAAGTTTTATATTTGAAAGATTCTATTTGCTGGGTAACTTATCATTACCAGAATGACTGTATCATAACATAATGTCTCTCAAATCAGCAAACACCCAGAAAATTCGGATCCGCGACGTTAATTAGCTAATATGAATCAGAAAAAAAAGAAAGGGTAAAATTTATGTATTTAACTTTCTGTGATGAAGAGCAGTGAAATTACATGAAATGTCAGTTTACTTCTCAAGTTATTATGTTGACAAGCGGTACTATAACACTTAATCATTATTAGGTTTTCACTTAACATTCAATGACAGCTCTATGTGGTGTGTGCTAGCTGAAATGACTTGATACGGTTATTTGATAAAAGAATCTAGAGGTGGGAAAAAATCAACTAAATCCTCAATAAGCACATAGATTTATGAATAAGGGTTTGTGGAGATTGTAGTAATTTAGATGATTGAATTCATGAGACGATCTAATCTAGACCTCCATTGAAAACGCAAAAGCAATGGGCGTTCGCCTTGTCCCAATGTGGAACTCCTTCAGCAATGCACACCCACGACCCCTCATTTGGGACTCGAACTCTGGACCGTCATTCTCGCACGCGAACTCTTAACCTGTAAACTCCTGAGCCAGTATCCAACTTCGTTAATGTCTAACTTCAATCAACTTGTAGATATCTATTGCTAAAATAATTAAAAATAATTTAATAATTTTAACAGTTGATATCATGAATCATTTGAAGCTAGACCACCATGGAAAACCTGGATACAATGGACGGCCGTTTTGTCCTATTGTGGGACTTCTCAGGTTCTCCATGGTAGTCTAGCTTCAGTTAGTTCATGATCTCAACCATTAAAATTACAATGATATCCACGAAACCCCTTCTTATATTAAATAATTTAGTAATTAAAAACCAAATCTGCACAATTTTCTTTTTAATTTCCTTAAACATTTGTGTTTTAGTTTTTATCTACTAAACGTTTATTTAAGTAGTATAAATTTTAATTCATAATTGTTTTCAAATATCTTCCTAGTGGATACTATTGTATGTCCAAAAGGTTCATCAGCTTTAGATCTTTTAATAAAATATAAAAATACTTTCAAAGAAAAGAAATTTTGGTGTGATATTATTATTCGTATTGGTTTTATTGGAGGGATTCAAGAGAATCAAATAAACGAAATAGAACAATTAACTAAACAATATGGAATTAATTCGTTTCTAGTGAGTTCAATCAAGTTAAATAATTGTTTGTTACTTTTTATTGAATAACAGGTGAGACTATAATTGTCCGGGTTAGAAGGAGGTTCATAGGTTTTAAAATTGTAGTGTATAAGGTAGAGGAACTCATCCATATGGCTCCATAATACTCGGGATCTTTCGCCATGATAAGGTCACAAAAACTTTCTTAGCCTCGACCACATAGCTTTAATATTGCTTGCATGTACTCCGATTTGCGTAAGTTTGTCATTTTCATTGAGCATATATCCCTACAGCACATCTCTGAACAGCCAAAGCTTCAGTAACACCTGCGAATATTGCAGCCCATAATACTGGTGCTTTTATTATACAGTTCATAGCAATTAATATAATTTGCCTTAGTCTCAATCTGGATCGAAAGATAAAAACTCCTATTCTAGCAGGATTCTTCCTCTAACATATATTACATCGAGAGATAACATCATCAGGGTAGTCTGCGCAAGGTCTACAAGTCAATTGATTACCACAATTACAAATAAAGGAACTTCTTACTAGTCCCATTTATTGTAGCCGCTTAATTGTCATGTTTTCTCTAAAATCCTCTGTGAAGTGGTTGTACATGAGCATCAGATACTGAAATTGGAGCTTTGACCTTGAAATCTCTCAGACGCTTCTGATTGACTCGTCCATAAATTAAAGTCTCGCCGAATAACATTTTATGACGGATTTTAAATTTCATTCTAGTTTTACTCGTTGAATAATATTGGCTTACGAGTTATTAAATTCAATGAACATTGAATGGCTTATGATTGTTACATTATATACCATGACTTGGGACCTAAGGCAATGTCGAGGCGATTCTCACAGGATGCACACATACCAAGGAGAGACTGATCGATTGAAATTCTAAATAACAATGGGAAGATACAAGCAAGCAACACCAAGTGAATATCATGACTTAGTTGGGGTTAATAGTGTGAATTATTAGGTTGTCATCTACTTGTTGTCATCGTCTGTTGTCATCTACTGTAAAGTAACCTTGAATTACATAACTTAATATAAAGACTGATTATGTAATTGTATCGATATCATTATCAGTTTTTAAAGTTGAATATCCATTTTTTGGTTCTTCATTTGTAAAGCCAGTTTTAAGAGAAATCCTTATAGTGATAAACGTCAGTGTTCTTTTATATTACTCATCTGTAATACCGAGACAATATGAACAACAGATATATCTTTATCAGAAGGGGTTTTTGGAAATTTTAGTAATTTTATAGAGTTGAGATCATGAGTCAATTGAAGCTAGACCATCAAGGAAAACCTTAAAGCACTGGACGGCCATTTCGTCCCATTGTGGGACTCCTCAGCAGCGAGCATCCACGATCCCGCCTCGAGAGACTCGAACCCAGGACCTATCAGACAGTTAGGTGCTCTGGCGCGAGATTGGTAGGTCCTGGGTTTGAATCTCGAGAGGTGGGATCGTGGATGTGCACTGCTGAGGAGTCCCACAATGGGACGAAACGGCCGTCCAGTGCTTAAAGGTTTTCCTTGATGGTCTAGCTTCAATTGACTCATGATCTCAACTCTATAAAACAGATATATCTGTTATGCATAAGATGAGTATACTGATCAACGACTATGATGATTTGATTCAGCATTTATTCCCCCAAATAAGTATGACTGATCACTTCAAGTATCCATTTATCGTGTTAGTATAATGAGTCCTATATTAGGACGAGATAAACATACAATTATTGTTCATATGACTACAACTATTTTTCTTATTTTTATTGCTTAACCTGTTTGATCTGAATCAACAAACTAATCAACAGTTTATTATTGACCCAATGGAAATGGATAAAACTTCTAAAGATTCATTATACATTACGAATTTATTAAAAGCTTTGGATAAATGTAAACAAACTGGTTCAATTGCTGTGATCAAATTTGATTTAAGAAAGACAATTAACGATTGTTCAAATAATTATTTGAATAAACAAAATGATGTAAGTAAATAAAATCTATTTGTAATAATCTAATAAGTAGAAAGCTAAGATTTACTGATGTTTCGTAACTCAGTATAAGCAACTTCTTCAGAGAATAAAGAACCAAATCAAAATTATTAGAAGGAGATTTTGTGAAGATTTCAGTAATTTTATATAGTTGAAATCATGAGTCGATTGAAGTTAGACCACAATTGAGAACATGGAACTATTAGGCGGCCATTCGTTCTATTGTGGGACACCGTTGGACGCTAGCTCAGTGGTCTAGTTGTTAAGCGCTCACGCGCGAGACTGATAGGTCATGGGTTCGAATCTCACGAGGCGGGATCGTGTATGTGTGCTGCTGAGGAGTTCCACAATAGGATGAAATGGCAGTCAAGTGCTTCCAGGTTTTCCATAGTGGTCTAGCTTCAATTGACTCATGATTTCAACTATATAAAATCAAAATTAATCCAAGTTTAAATAGTACAAAAGAACAAAGCAAGGATATTATGTGCGATCAATCAAAAAACAGGTTTGAACAAATCAATGTCATGTCATTTAAGTCATGGTGCAAAATTGTGTATGTGTATGTGTGCAACAGGCTACAGGTGGAGTTGTGAGTAAGTATGTGTGCAAGGTCAGGGATGAAAAAATGTGACTTTTCTGGTGTGAAAGGATAAAGTTTAATTTATATGTACGATAACAGTATGAAATATGATTAATATCAGATATGGTAGCTTGAATAGATAGGCCAAGTCAAATGGAGAGCAGTAGGATTAAGCATTATATGGCAAACTCCAGCTACTGTCCTTTCATTGTAGTTGGAAGATTACAATCTGATTTATCTTTAAATACACAGCTGGTAGGATGTGTCTGGAAAACTTTCATCATGATAACCTTAAACTAAATACATATGAAGGTAGATTTATTTTGTGGATTAGGTCATAGATATCAGATGATGACTTAATGTTAATCACTTCTTCGGAATAAATAAGTAACTGAATTAAGTTAACATAAGCAAAGATGGATAGAGGCTAGCGGTAGAACCCAGGAATCACGTTTCGTCCTATTTGGGACTCTTCAACTGTATTTGCCTGAATCTCAGAGTTAATGTTAACTCTGGGGCTCTAACATCCAGCTGATGAGTCTCAAATAGGACGAAACTAACTTTCTGGATTCGACTGCTAGCCACTATCCATCTTTGCTTATAAAACATGTGACTTCAGGCAATATCGAGGCAGCCTAAATAACAATGTGAAGATTCAGGTAAACAACACCAAGTGAATAAAAGGTAACATAAGTTTACCTATTATAACTTAATAATAATATTAATAATAACCTCATTCAGGTGTATTTTCCATATTTCAAGTAGCAAAAGTAATTTATAGGGGCTGACAAATCAAGGAGTGAAATAATAAATCACCATTACTAAAAATGAATGAAAATACAGCATCTTCACCAATTTCTTGGATTTGAGAATATAAACTATTCGATTTTATATAGTTGAGGTCATGAGTCAATTAAAGCTAGACCACTATGAAAAACCTGGAAGCACTGGACGGCCGTTTCGTCCTATTGTGGGACTCCTCAGCAGTGCACATCCACGATCCCGTCTCGCGAAAATAATCACGAAAGGCTTATCAGTTAGCAGAAGTGATCAGAGTGAATGGTATATTGTCCAGGCATCAGTTATTGTATCAAAAGCATAGCTCAATAGAAGATCTATCTTTTAAATAGGTACATAACAATTGAGTTAAGACGCCTATTATATATTAGAGAACATCATATAGTGATGTAAATGCCAGATAAAAAAATAACTTGAAGGTTATGGTGTGAATCATAACAAGTCGTCCAAAATAAACAAATCTTCAAGGAGTAGCGTACATAAGAAAGAATCTTTTTCTTTATACACATAAATATTGGTACAAATGGGTACCAGATATACATGCGCCACATAAATCTCATTTGATTTGTGTGAGGACTGTGATACTGACCGAGTGCTTAAAATGAAGCAGGGGGTTTGCTTAGGGGACACACCTGGAGCTTTTGACATAAAGATCTGATCCACAAGGCAGTGCAGGAGCATCATGAGGCGATGCATTCCCATGGTAGCCGATGACCAACAATTCGTTCATACTCCATTCGTTCCTTCAGGATACTGGAGCACCATTGGTTTGGAATGAGGGTTTTCCAACTCCCCTAGGTGAACATTCCGTGTCCACCAACCCGGATGAAGCGCCGACATTCGCATTTCGTCCTCTCAATTTCGTAAACAACAGTAATGCCACTGTGAGAATGCAGTGAGTAGAAATTCCTCGGTAGAGGCTTTATATGCGTATGGCCATATGAGAGCATTTGGAGAGGGAGAGCGGACTCTCCCAACTCTCGGCCATACCAGAACATTTGGGAGCATTTGGGGTGAAAAAATACTTCTACCACAACTATGAACAAGAAAAAGGTCATCAAAAGGGAAACTGACTTGAATTGTATGAGTTATTTATCATGACAAGTAAACGAGAGATGATACAGAACACAATTCATGGAATTGGTCCGACATATTTTAGAACAACTTCCGGTCGATTTCTAAGGAATCATTTGACATTATTTGTGTGTGGAGTGTATGGAAGATACTACGAAGTAAAATATATTCGCGAAAGTATTAGGGTTTGAAATCAAAAATAACTCTAGAGTTTCACTTGACAGTCTGGTCGTAGTCGAACAACGAAATAATTGTTAAACACATACAGACTACTCCCATATATTAAGTAGTTTATTACAATACACGAAAAAGAATAACCAATGGAAGGGTGAATTTAGACTATAGAAAACGGATTTGGGATTTGTTATGTAATCCTCATTCACAGTAGAGATAGTTGAATCCCCGAAATGGTGATTCAAAAGTGGTGTACTTGGCACTGGAGCCGTAACCACAGAGTTCGATTTAATCTGAGGTCGAGTGTGCATTTCTAAACTATCGGTATGAGGATTTGTGGCAATTGTAGTATTTTCATCTGTGGAGTCAAATCCGTGTAAGCTGTGAGACAGTTATCTACCTCAGACAATAAATGAAAGGTTGTGGAAGATTATATTTTCTGAACTAATAAGGAATCCTGTACGAGGATGAAATAGTTGTGTAATGTATAGTCTGATTTTCATTAGTTCCCTTCATCACATTGTCATGAAGTTTTTCATTGGAAGTACATATATGAATTTGTTACTTACTCATTTACTCCTGTTACTCCCAATGGAGCATAGGCCGCCGATCAGCATTCTACAACTCACTCTGTTCTGGGCCTTCTTTTCTAGTTCCATCCAGTTCTTGTTCATTCTTCTCATGTCTGTCTCCATTTCTCGGCGTAATGTGTTCTTTGATCTTCCTCTTCTACTTTAGCCTTCAGGATTACATGTGAGGGCTTGTCTTGTAACGCAATCAGGTGGTTTCCTCAAAGTGTGTCCAATCCACTTCCAGCGCTTCTTCCTGATTTCTTCCTCCGCTGGAATCTGGTTTGTTGTCTCCCACAGTAACTTGTTGCTGATAGTGTCTGGCCATCGGATCCGAAGTATCTTGCGTAGACAACTGTTAATAAACACTTATATCTTCTGGATAATGGCTTTCGTAGTTCTCCACGTCTCCGCCCCATACAATAGAACTGTCTTGACATTTGTATTGAAAATTTTGATCTTGGTGTTGGTTGACAATTGTTTTGAGTTTCAGATGTTCTTCAGTTGTAAATAGACTGCTCTTGCTTTGTCGATCCTCGCCCTCAAATCTGCATCAGATCCACCGTGTTCATCAATGATGCTGCCCAGATATGTAAAGATTTCCACATTCTCCAAAGCTTCTCCGTCAAGTGTAATGAATTATCATATGCTTATATCTTAACTTCACTTGAAAGTTTTTAGAAAAGGTTCATTTTATAAAATGGTATTCTTCACTTTACTTTTTTTTAATATTTAGTTAGAATTAAGATCCGTTGAAAAATGTATATTTCTTGCTACTTCAATAAATTGTCCAATCATTTTTACCTCTATCAATGATATGAATATAATTGAGAAAATTTCTGAAGCAAAACGACAAATTCCACCGATTCATATTACTGTATGTTGTACATCAAATTCATTATTATCAGAAATACCACATAATCAAGTAAGTTAATCTTATATATTAACAAATGGATGATTAAGATGTTTACTGAAGAGTTCTTTCAATCCTCAGTTGATGTTTTGTCATAGATTAAATTCAATAAATTTTTTCAAGATGAGTTCCTAAATTCTTAGCAGGAAGTTGTGACTTGTGGAGTGAAAACGTTCGCGCGCTACACCGATACGTCCTGAGTTCGAATCTCGGGAGGAAAGATCGTGGAGATATACTACTGAGGAGTCTCACAATAGGACGAAACGGCCACCCAGTGCTTCCAAGTTTTTCATGATGGTCTAACTTTAATTAACACATGATCTCAACTATTAAGATTAAATATCCGTTAAAAATAACAGAGAAAAAAGAAAAGAAAAATGGATTAGTTAGTTGCCAAGTGAATTTTATTTGAATGTACACTTGTTAAATATGGAACTTTTGAACTCCACCTGTAGCACTTCTAGAGTTACTGCCAATCCTAAGCTCCGTTAAAGGAGGAGGGTTGGGCATGGGGTTAACGACCTAATTCCGTAGAAAAACTAAATCGCTAAAAAAACTCTAACCAGAAAAAAATAAGATGGAACATTTGAACTGATAAACATTTTAATTATGAAGATAAAAAAGAGAGAAATGGTGTATCATATTTCTTATGGTTTATGAAAAGTGTTTGATCTTAACTGTTTGTTTATTTTTCATTCCTAAAATGTATCCATCTAATTAGATAGAAAGTCAATTTAGTGACTATAGTTACATAAAAGAACATATCAATGTACTAAGAGGAACTTTTATTCACCCATTTTCTCCGGCTCTCTCTCACACACACATACACCCATACACATACACATCGGTTTTTTCTATTCATCCATTACTATAAGATGAGTCACATATAAGCCTTCATGGTAAATCATTGTAAATTAATGATATTCATTCATGCAATCACTAGGATAAACTATCCTATTTTACATAAATTATTTGCTGAACTGAAATACCATTGAACTTGGCATAGTACTTTATTCATTTAACTTTATTTTCAGAAGAGGGTTTTGTGAAGATTTTAGTAATTTCATAGTTGAATTCATGAGTCAATCGAAGTTAAATGTTGAGCATTCGTGCACGACACCGATACGCCCTCGGTTAGCATCTCGCGACGTGGTATCGTAGCTGAGCACTACTGAGGAGTCCCATGCTAGGACGAATCGGCCTCCAATGCTTCCATGTTTTCCATGTTGGTCTAGCTTCAAATGACTCATGAATTCAACTAAAAAGTTTATTTATTTATTTAAACGCATAAACATTGGTACAAGGAGGCACCAAATCTATGTATGCGCCAAACTTTATCATTCGATTTATGTGAGGGTTAGGATACTGCCCAGCAACCCAAATCGTAGCAGGTATTAAGTCAATTAATTTAATTACTAACATTTAATTAATACGTTTAAAAGTAATCAGCATAGTGAACTGAATTGTATAAGGATAAATAAGAATAAATTGACTGATGTATCCATCAATTCTATGGCATAGAATACATCTTTACTGACTTATGAATATCCTTCAATCATTTCTTCATTGTTGTTGAACTATTATTGTAATCATATTGAAGTTTTTGTATGATTTGAAACAAGAAAAGTAATTCAGTGTATAGGATTCTAAATTTTATTAATCATTGATATAATATTTGGATGTCAACTTCACCTGTAGCTCCTCCGAGGGCTACTGCCGGTCTCCAACCCCGGTTAAAGGAGGAGAGTTAGGCATGGGGTTAGCGACCCCATCCCTTAGAAAACCAACTCACTAAAAAAACGCTAACCAGAAAAAATTAGGTAAGATTCGAACTTTCATAGTTGAAAGCGTGAGTCAGTTGAAGCTAGACCACCGAAGAAAACCTGGGAGCACTGAACGACCATCTCTTCCTAGTATGGGACTTCTCAATAGTGTACACACATGATTTTGCGCGTTGAACTCGAACCCAAGACCTTCAGTCTCACGCGTTAACACTTGACTTCTAAACCACTGAGTGGGCATCCAATGGTGTTGAAATCTAATTTCAATCAACCCATGATTTTGCACAACTCTTCATTTATTACGTGAAACGGGTAAATTTCTCCACCCAACACAAATTAGACTCTATTGATCATTGTTCCTCATTAGAACTTCAGGAAGTCCATCTTGAAGTTAATCATTAGTATATTACTTACTTACTTACGCCTGTTACCCCTCGTGGAAGAGCACATGCCAACCACCATTATTCTACATCCAACTCTGTCCTGGGCAGTCCTTTCCAGTTAACATTCATCCTTTCATCTCTGCTTGAATCTCCCGGTGTAATGTGTTCTTTGGCCTTCCTCTTTTCTGCTTCCCTTCAGCATTCCAAGTTAGGGTTTGCCTCGTGATCCAGTTTGGTGATTTCCTTAATGTATTTCTGATCCACTTCCAACATCTTTTCCTAATTTCCTGTTCACCTGAAAGCTGGTTTGTACTCTTCAACAGAACGCTGTTGCTGATGGTAACCGGCCAGTGAATGTTGAGTATTTTGTGTAGACAACTATTTATAAATACTTGCACCTTCTTGACAATGGACGTAGTAGTTCTCCACGTTTCAACTCCGTATAGTAGAACTGACTGTGTTGACGTTCGTATTGAAGATTCTCACTTTGAAGTTAGTTGACAGTTGTTTTAATCCCTAGTATGTACATGATGATTATCATCAGAATGGAGATTTTGTAGAGATTCTCGTTATTCTATTCGTTGGATTCTACAATAGTTAACCGAGGATTAGTGAAGAAATTAATCTTATCTACATCCATATTGTATGATTAATTATCAAGCATTTTCTCTCCATTATGAGTCATCTAAGTGTTCATGTTATCATAGTTATCCATGTGAAGTGACTGTGGTTGTGTGTTCATTTTTGTTTTTTAAAACAAAACGAATCACTAAGATAATTTCACCAAAATTTTTTGACCCAAAAACACGTACAGTTTTCTTTTGTTTTTAAATGATAAAGAGTCTAGACACTTTATGTGACATTGATACATTCGATTTGTACACTTATAGTGTTTAAACCTTCTAATTTATATTTAAGGTTATCTATGGAAAATGATGAAATAAGACCATAGTCAATGATTATGTGTATCATTTAATTCATTTAGAATTAAAAGGGTCATGGGTTTATTTCAAATTTGTCCTTTTTTCAAAGTAGTCAACTATTCAAGAATTAAACAGTAGTATTAGTAGTAGTAGTAGTAGTAGTAGTAGTAGTAGTAGTAGTAGTAGTAGTAGTAATAGTAGTAATAGTAGTAATAGTAATAGTAGTAGTGTAGTGAACAGAACACTGGTTGGGACAATCAAATGTATTTAAGCAAAAGTTACAGACTATCTCAGTAAATTCTGATTACCAAACAATGAACAGTCAATTTGCAAATTAACAACAATTTGTTTCAATCTTCACTGTTTCTTCTCTAATTCCATTGCTCATGCATTTTCCAAACGATTGCGCTTCATTTGCGTTCTTTGCTCATCGGTCTTCTGTGAAAATACATTCTATGTCTGACCCACACCATATACTACTTATATGGATATAAGTAGACAACACCACAGTAGTAGTAGTAGTAGTAGTAGTAGTAGTAGTAGTAGTAGTAGTAGTAGTAGTAGTAGTAGTAGTAGTAGTAGTAATAGTAGTAGTCGTAGTAGTAGTAATAGTAGTAGTAATAGTGTTACCCAGCTTCACAATCAGATATGTCATCACTGAGTTGTCCTGGCGGCGACTGACTTCCTGTGAGGTTGAGATTTATTTACAATTGTTTGATCACTCGGTGGTGATCAATGTCATGTAAGTTAGCTCCTTCTTAGTGCAGATCGAGTCGATTCACTTAGAATGGTGGCCACATTGCAACTTGGTCGATAGAATTCAATCTATACAAAGGAGGACCTAACATACATGACATTAATCACCACCCAGTGATCAATCAATTGTAAAGTATAATATTATTCCATAAATAGATCCTAGTGGTTACCATTCACTTCTTTTTCGTCTTGATCTAACATGAATTATATATTGGATGAAGATCTTTGATTTTATTGTTGACGCTTTCCGAGACTATTTTTAGAAGGAAAAAAAGTTTATTGAATAAATTAATGTTAATAATGTCCATAGAATATTATACACTGTTAATTTAATAGGATTACCTAAATTATTTTGTATGGTAAACAGTAAGAATGATTTTAAATTCACTTAGAATTGTTTGTTTGAATCTTCCCATTGATGCTTTCAGGACTGCAACTGGTCAGTCTCTAATTGGTCATATGTGCATACTATGCGTATTGCCTGGATATAGCCTTAATTCACAAGCATTATAAGCAAAGATAGATGATGCTCACATGTCTGAATTTGACAATGTTGAAAATGGTGAACATTTTCATTTGTTATGATATAAATACTCCCCAATTGTGTTATTTTATAAATTAGATAGGTCATTGAATAAAGGTCAAAATGATTTGGAGTAAAGTGTCAAGTCCTAATCATGTTAAGGTTAGTGTTAGGGTAGGAGAATTTCATCTTGTCAATTAAGGTAATAATGATCATACTAATAGTAATAGTAGCAGTAATAATAATAATAATATCGTTGTGTGAATATACTATGTAATAAGGGGGCCATTATTAAAGTAATTATGATAGAAAAGGGGGGTTCATGTGAATTAGGAAAGATGGATGTGAAGATTAAGAAGGGAATAATAGGTTTATAATATTTAGCTTAGGTATCCGGCGCTCCAGTCGTAGACTATGGTAAACATAGAGGTTGGATATACCTTTTCTGGAAATATAAATACTGTTTTCTGGAGTTGATTCAGATGGCTTCAGCTATGTAGAGTAGCCGTCATTTAGCTATTTGAGGTAAAAATGTTTTGGAAAATGATATAAAACATTGAAAGCCTCGTCTAATTTGATATGATATTCATTATCTACTAAGTGAGAAAGCATAGTATGGTTGATCGATTTAGCAACTCCTTTTCCCAACTATGATGGTACATGTTCATAAAGCCCTTTAAGTACGGCCTATGTAGCTAGCTCCACAGAAGCAGTTGAATTGGTATAGATACATGGAGGAGCCCATCATCAGTAGCCTATCTTTGATTTGTTGTTGAAGTTCTGGTTTAAACAACCTTGTAGTACCATTAAACATCACATACAAATACATGAAAACAGACAAATAAGTGAGTAAATAAACTTGTACTTAGTAGAGATAAGCTTTAAAAAGTATTGTCTATCTTGATTGACAATATACATACGATGTTACCTCGATCATTTCAGCTTATTCAACAGTCATATTAAATTACAAATATGTATTACAATATATACCTAATTTGGATCCTTTTATTTTCGTATATACTTTATTCTTTTATAAGCAAAGATGGATAGTGTCTAGCAGTGGAATCCAGTTTCACACGTGTTTCGTCCTATTTGGGACTCGTCAACTGGATGTACTTGCATCTCAGAGTTGATGTTCACTCTGGGACTCGAACCCAGTACTGTTCGCTTCAAATGCCATCGTGTTATCTACTCAGCTACTGAGTCCTGATAGCCACTTGCTTGTGCAATAAGGCGAAGTTTTAAATTCACTTATTATTGTTTGTTTGAATATTCCCATTGATGTTTTAGATCTGCAATTGATCAGTCTCTTTTGTTTTTATTAATTATATATAAATAGCAGTTTGGAAATGGACTTTTACCCTTATTAACCAATGGTGATATCAAATTAATTTCAAGCGATTATTCTGACGTTGATGCAGATGGAAAGTCTAATAGTTTACAAACAATTAGACAAAGATTAATAACAACATGGAAAGCTGGTGTGGTAAGTCATGTAAAACTATATATGCATATATTCACATGAAGTAATATGATCATCTAATTCGTCAGATGAAGTTGGATGGTTGGAAGCATTTGTTATAAAAACCTACTTATCTTACTTACTTACGCCTGTTACCCCCATAGACTGCCGAACAGCATTCTCCAACCCACTCTGTATTGGGCCTTCCCTTCTAATTCTATCCCAACTTTGTCCATTCTTCACATGCATGTTTCCATTTCTCAACGTAATGTGTTCTTTGGTCTTTCTCTTCTCCTTTAGCTTTGAGGAATCCATGTGAGGGCTTGCCTTGCGACGCGTTTTTTTTACCTAACTCGCTAAAAAAACGTTAACCAAAAAAAACGCTACTTAACTCAGGTTTAGTATTTATTAGCAAGATCCATCTGGAATCTTGATAGAACAGATTATTTCCTACTGATTCAGATCTGCATCGTCATATTTCACTTTTTGATGTTACTGGTGATTCGTTCAGGTCTCTATTAATCTCTTATAAGATAGAAACATCCATATTGATTAATCACTGAGTAGTGGTCAATGTTTCGTTTGTTCAGTCCTTAATGCAAGTTGAATTCTATCGATCACTTTACAATGCGGTCATTTGTATAAGAAACTTGACATGATTCCGTTTCTAAATCTCAACTATTCTATTTAATAAACCGTAAGACTAAATTTTTAATCTAGGCTCTATTTCACTTAGATTTTTATCAGAGTTATATGAATACAAGGTATGAAACTGCGAATGTTTTATTGAAACACATCAAAGTGTCGTTCATTCATAAATTGTAAGACTTGACAACAAATAACTATCTGTCCAGTTTGCTGCTCTCTATATAAGCTCAAAGACATGGGTAATCCAAATTGCTTACTTAAACCTGTTGCCTCTCGTGGAGGAGCATAGGCTGCACACCAGCATTCTCCATCCAACCCTGTACTGAGCAATCCTTTCCAGTTCGTTCCAGTTGACTTTCATCCTTTTCATACCTGCTTCTATTTTCCGGCGTAATGTGTTCTTTGGCCTTCCTCTTTTCCATATCCCTTCACCATTCCAAGTTAGCGCTTACCTAGTGATTCAGTTTGGTGATTTCTGTAATGTATGTCTCATCCACTTCCAATGTCTTTTTCTAATTTCCTCTTCAGATGGAAGCTGGTTTGTCCTCTCCCATAAAACGCTGTTGCTGATAGTATCCGGCCAGTGAATGTTGAGTATTTTGCGCAGACAACTGTTTATAAATACTTGTACCTTTTCGACGATGGATGTAGTATTTCTCCACGTCTCAGCTCCATACAGTAGGACTGTCTTGACGTTCGTATTGAAGATTCTCACTTTGAAATTCACATGATCAAGAGTAAATGAGTTGAAATAAACGTCGTAACAAAGTAACGATTCGGACGTAACTAAATCAATGCACATTTTATCATTTAACATTTGCAAAAGAAAGTAAAAATGAAGTTAAGAATTATAAAAATAGACATTATCACCGTTGGATGCCGGCCATCCCAGTGGTCTAGAGGTTAAGAGCTCGTGCGCAAGACTGATAGGTCCTGGGTTCGAATTTCGCGAAGTGGGATCGTGGGTGTGCACTGCTGAGGAGTCCCACAATAGAACGAAACGACAGTCCAGTGCTTCTAGGTTTTCCATGGTCGTCTAACTTCGACTGACTCATGATCTCAACTATTGAAATTATGAAAGTGTTATGGATTCAAATTTTGTGATTTAATGATAAAACATTTAATGATAGTTAAATTAGTAAACTCAATATTGATTATATTGTATTGATATTCAATGATAAAATGTGACTGAGCAATAGTTGCTCATGAAGCCGGAATTATGACGTAACTCTCATCTAATTGATACGTTATCAGAAAACAAAACAGTAGAATAGGCTTTGTATATAATAAAATAAAATTCCCTAATCGATTAATACTTTCCTCATTATATCAAATAATGCAAACGTTCATACTGAACAAAACTTGAAAGAATTGTAGACCATCAACGTTGATGATCTATGTCGAATAGAGGCCTACTCGAGTTAGATGGGAACAGTGTAACGAACAAGCTAAATTCGAAGTCACATCTCGCGGTCAGCACCTTACGTCCATTGCCCCATCGAAGTATCAACGGACTATGGATGCTCTCAAGACTGTACAACACAAAGGACGTTATTACAGCAATATATTAGTTAAAATAGATACAAGCGAACGTAAAACCACTGCCGCATGGGCAGGTCTATGGCGTATGATTAACTGATGCGCGTTCATTGTCTTTGACCTTGATGGCGATCGATGATCTGTTCGATATTTAGTGACCCAACTGCTGGATGATTTGGCTAGGGTTTAAATTAGCTTTCAATACATGTTTATAGAATAAAATGATAAGTCTTGCTAATTGAACGGTATGCTTAGTTCCTAAGCTGTTCTTGTAACCCCCAAGCTAAAACTACTCAGCAACTTGAACACGAGAAAAAAGGCACAAGATAAGCGAGAAGCATTTTACTCCAAAGGTTCATTATTATTATTATTATCATTGTTATTATTGGACCACACACAGATATTCAAAATTACAAGCACGTTAAGCAAGCATGAAAGAGTAGTGCCGTAAAGTAGGCAAGTGAGTGTGAGAGTCGAATGAGCGAGTGCAGTGCAGTGAACAGGATTAAGATATACATATATATACAAATGGAAAAGCATGAACCATCGAATCAATTAAGCGATTGATAGTAAGCCTAGCAGAATGAATACATGCGTAAGCAGTAAGCAATGCTCAAGCGTACATAATGAAGGTACAATAAGTATAGATAGGTTGTTGTTGTACGAATGACTCTGTCCGTTAAATAAATTAACAAAAGAGTTTAGCCAAATTAGATGTAAACAAAACTCAATTGTATATGAGCTGCTATAGACCGATACTACTCATAATGATTATCTTATCCAAATTATTTTTTTTCTTTTTTATTCTTAATTGTTTATTAGCCAACAGGATGGTTAGATGCTTCTACATTTGTTAGTATTACATCATCTAATGCTTCACATTATTTAGGTTTATATCCAACTAAAGGATGTTTACATTCAGGATCCGATGCTGATTTAATATGTTGGTCATATGAAAATATAACTGATTGTACTATACAATATCCATCTATAGTTATACATCATGGGAAATTAGTAGTATATAATGGTAATCTTATAAAAGAAACAACGAATGATTTAATGATTAACCCATGTAATAAACTAAATGAATGTCAATCTAATCAACCACAAGGAAGTTTACAAATAGGAAAATTATTTCCTTCTACGATTTATGATCAGGTTAATGGATTTGAAAGAGTAAGTCATTAGAAAAATAGATTTGTTTTTTATGAATGATTATTGGTAATTTATTAGATAAACTAATCTCTTTCTGGAACTCATACCTCATCAAGATACCAAAGATCTGAGCAAATGTGAGAATTACAGAAGCATTAAACTGTTGTCAGTTCCAGGAAAATTTTTCAATAGAGTGTTGCTTAACCGGATGAAAGATGCAATAGACGCTCGACTTCGAGATCAACAGGTTGGATTCGGTAGGGATTGGTCATGCACAGACCAAATTGCGATATTACGGATCATCGTGGGACAATCAATTGAATGGAATTCGTCACTATACATCAACTTCATTGACTATGAGAAGGCGTTTGACAGTGTGGATAGGAGAACATTATCGAAACTTCTTCGACACTATGGAATCCCGGAGAAGATTGCCAACATTCTCTGGATTTCATACGATGGACTACAGGGCAAAGTGGTGCATGCAGGACAGCTGACAGATGCATTTCCAGTAGGGACCGGAGTCACACAAGGCTGTCTACTCTCCCCCTTCCTCTTTCTTCTGATGATTCACTGGATTATGAAGAATTCGACATCTGAGGGGATGCACGGAATACAATGGACATCTCAGAATCAATTTGACAGTTTGGACTTTGCAGATGACCTCTAGCCCTCCTATCTCATACACACGAACAAATACAAACGAAGACAACTAATGTAGCAGCAGCCTCTGCATCAATAGACCTCAACATACACAAAGGAAAAAGCAAGATTCTCAAATACAACACGGATAACACCAACCCAATCACACTTGATGGCAAAACTCTGGAAGAGGTGGAAACATCCACGTACCTGGGAAGCATCAGTGATAAACAAGGAGGATCTAATGCAGATGTAAAGGCGAGGATTGGCAAAGCAAGGGCAGCATTTTTACAATTGAAGAAAATTTCAGAGAATCTTCAATACGAACGCCAAGATGGTCCTACTGTACGAACCTTAAACGTGGAGAACTACTACATCCATCATCAAGAAGGTGCAAGTATTTATAAATAATTGTCTATGCAAAATATTCGACATTCACTGACCGGATACTATCAACAACAACCTAATGTGGGGGGGACAAACCAGCTTCCATCTGAAGAGGAAATTAAGAAAAGACTTTGCAAGTGGATAGGATACACATTAAGGAAATCACCAAACTGCATCACAAGGCAAACCCTAACTTAGAATGGTGAACGGAAGCGGAAAAGAGAAGAGTCAAAGAACAAATTACGCCGAGAAATAGAAGCAGACATGAAAAGGATGAATAACAACTTGAAATAAGCGGAAAGGATTGCCGAGGAAAGGGTTGGATGGAGAATGTTGGTGTGCTGTCTATGCTCCTATTTGAGGGGTGTCAGGCGTAAGTAAGTAAGTAAACTTAAATCGTGTTATAAATAACAGAACAAGTCAAATACGAGAATGAATTTTGAATACGTATTTTTCATACACTCGTTGATCCGGACAAACATCCAAAATGAAAAGCAGGAGAGGAAAGTGAACCAATTCGATTTGAGAAAGTATGACTCCATATTTATAGTCAGATAAAAATAAGCTATAGACATGTTATGAGTAGGATAAGTAATGAATACACATACGTTCATATAAAAGCAGTCACCATTAATGGTCGAACAATTAACACCAATGAATAGATCAGCCTATCCGAAAGTTAAAATAAAATAATATGGGCCTGACATAGTACTAGACACAACATCTTTCCTCTGTTGTTCAAGCCTCAAGTGTGGAAGAGATCTGGTGATCTAAGAAACAGGTACGAAGTCAATATCAAGTGTTTACGTTGTGGATTCATCAATTTTACGTATACTTAAGTGACATGCACGACATATTAGTCTCATATATCGGCATTCATTTAATTACTGAATAACCTAAACTGTAGATTTAAGTAACAAATATAAACATTAATTTAGATGTAATGGGTTTTTTGGCAAGATTATCATAGCTTGTATTAAATACTTATCAGGGACTGCTTTCAGCTGGCTTACACTACTGAAAATCATCGAGCATAGAATAGCTCTTTCGCCTTAGTTTAGTACTCTTCAGCAGTGAATAATCAAATTAATGTTTTTTCATAGTTGAAAGCATGAGTCAATTGAAGCTGGACCACTAAGGAAAACCTGGAAGCACTGGACGGCCATCCTTCATGATTGTTCCACTGACTGACTTCAAGAGATAAATCCAAAAGTTCTAGTGAGAAGCAGTGACTAGTGGAGTTCAAACCACGTCTGTTGTGACATAGGAACTTACTGAAGACAATTGGCGAACGGTTGATCAACTTCGTGGATTGGTTGGAGTTAGATATCAACACCATCGGATGCCGGCCGGCTCAGTGGTCTATCGGTTAAGTGCTCTGACGCGAGACTGGTAGATCCTGGGTTCGAATGTCGCGAGGCGGGATCGTCGATGTGCACTGCTGAGGAGTCCCACAATAGGGCGAAACGGCAGTCCAATGCTTCCAGGTTTTCCTTGGTTGTCTAGCTTCAATTGAATCATGCTTTCAACTGTGAAAATACTGAAATCTCCACAAAACCCCTTCTGATTAAATAATGTTTTTCTTTTTCACTACTATAGAAATGTTACTTCTTTTTCTTTCTTTCAAATTAACTGATTAGTTACGTAAAATAAATCAAATTCTTATTGTTCGTGAACCTTGGACAATGAATAATTTAAATGAAGAATTAGCAACCATTTCAAAAATATCAAACAACCTTGAAAATAATAATAATCAAAATAGTGAACAAACAAAAGTTTGTTCATCCAATGAAAATTTAATGACAATGTCAACTAATATACGTACAATACGTGGTAATCGAGATTTACATGCTTCAGGATTTTCATTAAGTGGTCAGTTATTAAAATTTATTTATTTTGAAAGAGTTGTGTATAATTATTGTTTTTTTGAATCTTCCTGTTGAAGTTTAGGACTACGATTGATCAGTGGATAACCTGGTAGCGTTTGAAGCGAAAGGTCATGGGTTCGAGTCAGAGCGAACATCAACTCTGAGATGCAGATACATCCAGCTGATGAGTCCCAAATAGGACGAAACGCGCTTCAAACTGGATTCCACTGCTAGCCATTATCCATCTTTGTTTAAAATGTTTAATTGTATTTGAAGTTAACATTATTGATGGTAAAGCTTGTAAAACTATGCCAGTCACCATACGTAGTTGAGAAATGTGTCAGGAAATAATAGTTACTTATGTTTAATGACTTAAAATGCCATTCTCGAGAAATGAATAGCCAGTGTTTACAATTTTGTTGGACAGTAAGAAGCGGCATTTATTTTATCAAATAGGGATACATTTTCCGGATAATTTAAAGATTGTTCTTATGTACTTTTCTACCTAACGTGGTTTGGTAGTTCCCAAAATAATTGTTGAGGGGTCGAAACCTGAAAGTTAATGATTAGAAGCATTATACCCATCTTCTCTACTACCACTACTGTTATACTACTTCTACTAATCTGACATTTGTATTTCATCTCGCTGTCCTAGTCATATATCAACATGAACCGATGCACACGTGTACCAAGTTCTACATTGTATGATTGACTTTTTACTGTTGGGAATATGCGCTTGAAGTTTACAATAACAGGCTTATTGTCATTTCGGAGGACTAAACACTAAAACTTGTTACCCCTCATATGTGATAAAACACTGGATATCATAGCCACAAAGTGATGGAAAGTAACCAAAGCCCCTCACTTTAAACTAGGTTTTTAGTAGGTATTCGGATATTTCCAGAATCCCATACATATGAAAGAATTCTGTAATAACGACAGGAACTTCGGGTGAATCATAATGTAATGTTTCGATTATCATCGATAATCAATGCAATAAACTTATCTTATGTCCCCATAAGTGTGATGGAGTTCCACCATGTATGAGTGAACATGCAATTTAACTTCAGATTTTGCCTTTGTTTCTAGAATGCATTGAAACTATTGACTAATTCTTTTAAGGTTAACTGCTTAGAACAATAATCTAGTTTTCTATCAACTCTGTAAATTGTTGCATTTGAAGCTCTTTTAAATAAACATCCTTAAAAGATCTACTCATGTAAAATGGTTGAATATGGAGTAGCAACCAAAGTAATGTATGCCTAATCTTTACAGATGATAGAATCATATCGACCTGACAAATAGTATAAACAATTAAATGAGTTATATTCTGATTTTAGATAATGGTTGGAGCCAATTTTAGTTTTAGGAATATAAGGTATTTGTAGGATTTAAACCTGTGTAAACTTGTATTGAAGTTAAAGATCAATCGTGGCCCGAATCGCCTAGCAGTAACATTTTAGATCATAAAGCTTGAGAATCCAGGTCCGAATTCTACAGACGACCTCAGTTGAGTCAAAACTGTAGGTATGCCATACTGAAGAGTGCCAACCGCCGAGAAACCTAGCTTAGATAGGGTTTCCTGTTGACCGCTTCTAACCACTTTAAAACAAACAGAGCTTTCTATTAATCGCTACTTATTTATCATTTTATTCACACGTATTCTATTTTTATTTGAATCCTTTTTCTAAAAAAATAAACAAAACAAAGGAGCTCAAGTTGACGATGATCGACCAATAAGATCAACAATTCGTACACAGCAACAAAGTGAAACAAGAAACCCGTTATGGTAACGACACACACACACCTTTTTTCCTTACAACTGGTCTCTACTCATCATAAATTCATTCTAATTATGCACTACCATTATCATTGTCATCATTAGATATGAACTCACCTCACTCTATACACATATATAATATGCAGTTTTGATAAAGTACATTACGTTACAAAAAATTATATATATTACTATAATACTACTAATAATAATGTTAAATAATAAATTTCCATTATTCTTACATAATGAACAAAATGGTATATTTTTCAAAATTTGATCTTCTTTCTGTTGTTGTTTTCACCGAAGAAACCCCCCCCACCGAGGGGAACGACGTAACGATAAGTATATATATATATATATACAATAATGATAAGACAAAATAGTAACTCTAATAAGTGTAATTATTCTAGCTGATTTCAAGGAAAGAACAAGAAGACTTCAGAATTTGATGTTTCGATCAATGAATGACACTGAGAAAGAATGGATTTATGGAAGAAAAAAAAGGACAATAACAAACATCTTTTCAGTAGTATATTTGATTATTAACAAAAAGAAAATGCTGTTGACATTAACAATTAAATAATAAGGCACATTAAATAAATAAACAGATTGTATCAAAATACATGGAATCATATAAGTGAAGGCACCGAGTTCATGAATAACTGAAGAAAAATAATCGTACAAAAATAAAATGCTCCATATAAAAAAACTCAAATATAATGAATCAGTCAGTCAGTGGGTCACAACGCAGAACTTCGTACGTACGTACATACTACTAAGAATAGGTAGTAGTGTTTACAATGACAATTAAATGCACTAAAGAAAAAAAAATTAGTAACCCAAAGGATTCAACAAAACTGAATTTAATTAGTTAAATTAAAACAAAACAAAACAAGAACTTAATAAGTAGTATGAAATGCAATGCACTTCTCTCTTTCTGTCTCTCCCTTTACCGATCATTTTTATGAAAGGAAGGTAGAAAGTAAAAACCAAAAAAGAAAATGCAAGCCGTTAATAATAATTATAAAACAAAATAATGGTATTTGATAATCTCCATTTATTTAAATAGAAACTGATCTAATGAGCAAGCTGTCAATTGAACTGTAACACTACTTGATAATGAGACAGGAATTATCTTATTATCTGATTCACCATCATTATTACTAATTGCCGTTGTTGAAGATGTCGAAATGGAAGGATTGTTATCAATTTCCTTTTTATTTGTACTATTATTACAAATATTAGTCGTACTGTTACTACTACTATTATTATTACTAAGAATAGTAGTAGTAGTAGTAGTACTAGTAGCAGCAGTAGTAGTATTCTTATATTGACTAGAATTACTATTACTATTACTATGACTATTAACTAGAGCTAAACTAGTCATTGCTGTATTAATACCAAGACTTGTATTAGCTGGTTGATTTTCATCAATATCATCTGAATCAATTTCATCATCCGTTGTATCCTCTTCATCGATGTTAATATTTCCTTGTTTAATAAAATGATGTGTTGTAAGTGATTTTACACATTTTGTATGATTGGTTGATTGTAATAGGGATGTGTTAACAAGAGTATTTGAAGAAAATTGATCATTAACACGAGGTAATTTTGATGGAGAACATAATGTTATTGTTGTCTTGGTTACTGTCTCTGATGTCGTTGATATGTTCTTATTCGAATTACTCCTCTCTGATAAACAATAGTTCTCATTATTATTATCATCATCATGTAATTCAATAGTTAATGGTGGATGACTAGTTGACTTTATTAACATTTGTTGATTATTGCCCACTAATTTCGTTTCTCTCATCTTTTTCTTATGATTACTATTATCAGAAGAGTTTTCATGTTCATAAATGGAATGCAAAATAGAATTGGAAGATAATGATGTAGTAGGTCCAAGTGAATATCGTGAACTTGATCGAACTTGATGAGAATAATGTTGATAACGATGATGATCAGCAGTATGTTGTGATAAAAATTGTTGACAATTTTCTGAAAATCGATCAATATCATTATTGTGTTGAAGAATTTTTCCAGTAATCTCTTTTCGCTTCGATTCATTTGATTCAGTAGTAACATTAATACCAGAAGTAGTAGTAACAGTGAATATTGACTTATTATTACAAATTTCTTCTCGATTAAGTGAAACATAAGGTAAAGTAGCATCAATATAATTGATAGAGTTCTCCACTTTACTTGGCATTAATGTTCTTGTAAGAGGTGTAGCTTCTTTAGATTTTTTAGTATTTCTATTATTTGTTTCTATTTTTTTTATTTGTTTAGTTGAAGAATTAGCTGTCTATAGAAATAAACAAATTAAATATTATTATCATTATTATTACTAAGTTGTTAATCAAATTACGTTGATCAATAATTAAATATTTACAAACCTATCAGTCAGTTAGTCACAACGTAGAACTTCGTACGTACGTACATCAGTTCGAGTTGCCATACCACATTAACACAGAGATGCAGTTGTCGATTCAAATCCCATAGTCGTAGAAGTAGTAGGAGTATAAGCAGTAATCCGATAGATTAGGGTTTGAAGATGTTATTGAAGGAGCATAATACGATGAAATAAATTTGGAGAGAGAAAAAAGATGGAGAGATGAAGAATTCAGAAGATTAGAATTTGGTAGAACACAAAGAGTGGATGCACCTTCGCCATTGCAAACGATTTTGAGCCATGTCATTCAAGGTCTCTAACCATCCGTTGCTATCATCTCGCGAATCCCAACCAGGTAGTCTACAACTACCAACATGGATCAGTCCAATTGTCAGTGATTTCATGGATTTGTACCACGTTTTGGTCTGGCCACCCCTAGCTTTCTTCCAACCTACTCCTACACCATGAAACATTGCACGTCGGGGCAGTAGGTGGTCGGGCATACGTAACACATGTCCCAGCCATCTTAACTGATGAAGTTTCAGTACTTCATCAATCGATTTGCCATCCTTACCTAGTACCCGTTTCCTAACAACTGCATTACTTACCCGGTGGTCCCAGGATTTACGAGCAATACTTCGAAGACACCTATGATCGAATACTAGTAGCCTACGAATATCCTCTACCCTTACCGACCATGTTTCACTGCCATAAAGTAGGATGGAACGAACTGCTGCACAGTAAGCCCGTCCTTTGCTTGGTAGACGGATATCTCGCCTACACCATAAATGACGCAAGTTGGCGAAAGCTAGACGAGCCTTCTGTATCCGTGCTGAGATTTCGTCACACACCAGACCACAAGGGCTGATGAGACTCCCAAGATAAGTGAAGTGGTCTACACGCTCAACTACTTCACTCCCTATCATTAGTTCAGGTGTCGATGCAACCCAATCCTGAAGTAACATTTTGCACTTCGAGGGAGAGAATCGCATTCCGAACATGCCTGCATAGTTGCTTATAGTGGTCAGAAGACTCTGCATGTTGTCAGCATCTTCACCGAGTAAAACTATGTCGTCGGCGTATTCTAAGTCAACAAGTGAGCCTCCTGGTAAAAGTTCAACTCCTGGAGGTTTAGCTGATGAAAGTGCTATCTCTAAAAGTATGTCAATGACAAAGTTAAACAAGAATGGGGAGAGTGGACAGCCCTGACGAACGCCACTTGTGGTAATCAGTTCTGATGACAGTTCGCCATAGGCTCTCACTTGACCAGTTGTGTTCGAGTAGAGAGCCTTTATGAGGTTAATGTACTTCTTTGGTACTCCTTTTAGTGACAAACACTGCCATAGAACCTCACGGTCAACGGAGTCAATTGCCGCCTTAAGGTCAAGAAATACTACGATCGTGGGACGTCTGAATGTGTGTCTATGTTCTAGGACCTGACGTAGAGTGAATATCTGGTCTATACAACCACGTCCAGGTCGAAAACCAGCCTGGTTTTCTCTAGTCTGCTCTTCACGAGCTTTGGTTAGGCGTCCAAACCTATGCCACATCTGATGTAAGGATGAACTGACTTTTAACAGAAAATGTACCAAATTGTGGTAAGATTTTTGAAATTTCCAAGATACTTGAGAATTTTATTAATATCACTGTTTTAAAACCAGTAAGAATGTAGCTAACAGTCTAACCGCTCGACACTGGAATACCTTTTTTAACATATTGAAAGTTTATCACAGACTATTGAGGAATGGTACTGTCAGCTAACTACTAACTAGTATCAAGTTTTGTAACCGTTAAAGCTCAGTAGACCCTCTATTGATCAAGCTGGCAATTTGACCGAAACGATAAACAAAGTAATCGGATGTAATTGTTTGTTGTTTTCAACCACTGAAGTTCAGTATGATATCCACAGTTACTTAACCACTTTAGCTATTAATGTTTGTAACAGTGAATGACGCAGGTTTGAAATTTCAAGATGGAGTAACAACCACATAAACACTACAGGTACCTTTTATGAATAGGTATCAATGAACAAAAAAATATCAAATCAAGAATAACACTTCAATGATAATTGATAACAATCATCTAAGAATCAGTTTCATAATACTATAAATATTACATATTAGAATAGTGCGATTGTCACGCGGACCCCAACCAAGTAGTGTGTATCTACCAACATCGCTCAGACCACAAGTTAGTGACTTTATGGACTGATGCCACGTTTTGGTTTGGCCGCCCCTAATTTCCATCCAACCGTTTCCAACGCTATTCAAGGATTGAGCGTTGTGGTAACCGGTGTTCAGGCATGAGCAACATTCGGCCCAATCATCTCAGTCGAGGAAGAGTTATAACCTCATCAACTGATTTACCATCATTACAAACACCTTGAGTCTAACATCCCTATTACTTACCCGGTGATCCCAGCGGATGCGAGCAATATTTCTAAGACATCTGTGATCAAATACAAGTAGCTTACGAGTATCTCCTACTCTTAATGGTCACGTATCGCAGTCGTAAAGTGAAACAGAACGAATTGCTGAGCAGTATAATCGTCCCTTAACTGATATACGGATAACTCGCCTTCGTCATAGGTGACGTAAATCTGCGAAATCTAAACGGGCTTTTTGAATCCGTGCTGATATTTCGTCAGACACCAACCTATTGGGGCTGATCAGACTTCCAAAATAAGTGTTGTCGACGCGTTTGACTACTTAACTCCCTATCCTTAGTTCAGGTATTGACCCAGGCCACTCCTGAAGCAACAATTTTCATTTAGGGGGGAAGAATGCATCCCGAACATCCTGGTATTGCTGCTCAATGCTACCAAAAGACTGCATTTTATCAGTGTCTTCATCAAATGGAACTGTCACTTGCTTATTCTAAGCTATTAAATGGAATTCCTAGTAAATCGATTCCTCAAAATCTAGTCGATGAAAGCGTTATTTTCAGTAGTAGGTCTATGATGAAATTAAACAAACTAAAATGTTCACATACAGGAAATATGCAAGAATATGTAAAGGTCAATGCACACATGACCAGGTTGCCACACCCTATTACCACAGAGGGATGGAATTGTTAGGGAAAATCCTAGAATAGTAGAGACAATAACAGTACTATTGGTAATAGAAGAGACCAGGCATTGAAGTTACGACTCGAGAAAATAAAAATTAGTAAAATAAAAAAGTTATGAGAAATCCAGGGAAAGACAGAATGAACGCACCTGAGCCATTATAAAAGATTTCGAATAGTGTTATTTAAAGTCTCCAACCACTAGTTATGATGATCACGCGAACCCCATTCAGGTAGTCTACATCTGTTAACATGGTTCAGTCCAACTGTCAATGACTTTTCGGTAAAGTTAAAAAACTGGTTGGTGAGACCGCAAACTTCTATTTGCTGAGGGAGCTATAACACGTGTTACGTAAGTCCAATCATTACCTATTTCAATATGTGGTATTGGTTGGTATAGAAATAGACTGGGAGAAAGGTAGGGAAGGCCAAACTAAAACATAGGATGTTAAAGTCCGTGGTTGAAGTGAGGTGTGTAGGTGGAACATCGACTACTTGGTTGGGATCAGCACAATTGTCATAACCAAAGGTCAGAGACTTCAGGTGACATGGCTGAAGAATGGGGTTGAAATGATACGAATGTATTCATTTCTTGTTTACACCTAGATCCTGCTTTTTATTTTGTAAATTTACTCTTTTTTCTTCAACCACATCGATTATGTCTAATCTTTCATACGATCACCGGTACTACTACTATTTATTTGTCATTCGTCTCAATGTGTTGACGTGATGTGGCAACTTAGGGCGATGCACATTTCTCCCAGGTTCTATGTTGCTCATGAGTAAATGAATGCCTTTCCGATAAGTATCTCACCAAGCAAACAATACAGAATAAAGCAAATCGATGCATTGTCTTGACATCCGAAGTTAGAGTTAGGGGCGGTCAAACCAAAACGTGGCATCTGTCCATAAAGTCACTAACTTGTGGTCTGAGCCACGTTGATAGATAGACACTACTTGGTTGGGGTCCACGTGACTATCGTAACCAATAGTTGGAGACTCTAGGTGACATGGTTCAGAATCGATCACAATAGCGTAGGTGTATACACTCTTTGTCTTCCTTTAAACGATGAGATTAAAATTACTTTATATCTCTCTTTCTTCTTGTACTATATCCTTATATACAATCTTCCTTTTATATATTACCACCATTAAATTTACTATGAATTCGGTGTTCATCTTGTTGTGCTAATGAGGTATGGCAACTTGGACCGATGCATACATGTGCCTGTTCCTACGTTGTAGCTGACTGACATACGAAGTGGTCCTAAGATTGGTTTTTTAAGAATCAAACTTTATCTGAAAGTGTATTACAAAAAGGTACGGAAATTATTAGTGAACAATATTACCTCTACAACCCCCATGACTGTTCGACGGCGAGCTATTTTCTTCTGTCTAACTACATGACTTGTTACATTTAAAGGGTCTGTATTATTTGGTTTTTGTACGGCTGTATTATCTGATAAGATTTCAATGGAGTTCTTGCATGTCTTCTGGTATCCAATTTTCTGTGAACTATTCACTCCGTAATTGTTTTCCATAAGACAGGTTCTAGTGGGTTGTGTATGCCTTCGGATAGATTTAGTTTGTTGTCGAGTTAGCGGTCTCCTAGGTGGTGTGGTAGAATTACGGTCAATGTTATTTAAGGGTACAGATGATGAGGTATCATTAATGGCATTATTTACAACAGATATAATCAAATTACGCTGATGCTGATCAATATCAGAACTACACGAAGTAGAAATTATTTGGTCATCTGTAAGTGCAGAATTAGCTAAATGATTAAATGTTGAGTGAAGTGTGTGAGGTACAGTTTGAGCATTTGTTAATGGAACACAACCATCAACTTCATCAATGCCACCACCACCAACGGGACATGGGCGAAAATTAACTGCAGAAGGCAAATTATTCTGGAAATAAGAAGACAATGCAGCCGCACATGACTGTGTAGGATAAATTGCATTCACAGAGTAGCGGGATTGTCGTCCATTTGATCGAGAAGCATTTGCACTTCTTAATAATGGCTTGTATAGAGCAGTTTCAATGTGTTGAATATGGTTTTGAACGGATCCACCGGTATTAGTACTACTAGTGACAGTAGGATGAAAATACGGTAGCGAAAGTGCATCGAAGGCAGTGATTCGCTTTTTTGGATTGAACTGAATCATTAGCTGTAAATGTATAGAAATTAGGATACGAGTTAGGATGCATTATGTATGCAAAAAGTAGTCATACAAAGAAAATTAAAATAATCCGCCAGATCTGTTATATGACAAAACTACTTTGTTATTCTTTAATCTTTACTGTGAAAAAACATCAGTATAAACTCTTTTAATTGAATTTCTGGTACGTACAGGCTTTATGTTGTGGCTCACTGAGTGACTGAGCGGCAAATAAAATTAAAATGAAGTAATACCAAATTGTTTGGTGGACCAATGGTAGTGACTGAATGCAAGTTTATACACTTGGTTGTCAACAACATCGGCGATACAATTAAAAGTGAAATAACCGACTTCAAGTGTGTGAAGTGGAGTGTGAAAATGAATCTTACTGATTGAAAACTGAGTGATTTAACCAACAAACTACAGCTCATTATATCTCAGTTTTGTCTAAGACAAACAGTTGGTTTACGGAATGCTTATTGAATCAGTGAAACAGAAGTAATAATAATGATAATTGGTCCGATATGCCCAGCTAATAATTATCATTAATATAATTAAGCAATTAAGCGCAATCGTGGAGCTTTTATTGTTTTTCCGAACAAAATCACCGACACGAACTCCAGATAGAAGTGAGGTATTCAAATTTTTCCATGACTAACCATTCGCCCTCTCTACATTGATGTTAATTGGTAATTGTTCACCTTGAAACCTTTTTAGATCATAGAACAGAACTCTACTAAAGTCTTTCACTTGGGCAGTAGATCTTTAATTAGCTCAATACCAAGTACAACTTCATCTACTTAACTTTAAGCTGGACTTTGCATGAATGCTAGTGATACTATTTAACTTTCTAAAATAAAGTGGAGAACGAGCCTTGAAATTATTTTAGTAGGTGGAAGATAAATTTACTAACAATTAGGCTACCACTCTAAGCAAAGAGTAATGATAATTATCTTAAAATGTTTTTGAATCCCCTTTAGACAAAATTATCATATATGAGAAGAGGTTTTCCAAATTATCAAAAGTTGATCTTTTTAATAATTGTATGAATTCTCACGGTATTTCATGTTATTTTTATGCAATGCGACTTGGAATACTAAACTTCCACTAAGTTTAAGAAATAAACAAAGGAGCTATGTATTATCCATCTGACTTATTGCATATGATTTTCTAAGTTGTTTAGATGTACACATTTGGATTAACCAACTTGATTTTGGGGTGAGTATTAGACTACCTTATTAACGAGACTGATTAGTTCATGTCATTTTAAAATGATTTAATAAAAAGTAGATTTTGTAATGTATCGTGTCTAAATACTTATGGATTTCAGCAGTATACTTGCAATTATAAAAACATACTCAGCTAACCTGCAAAAACAAACCTATTTACTTTGAAAATAATTATATACAATATCAAGATAAAATTATGAATAAGAACGTAATATATGCATGAAAATCACAATTTTTTACACACTTCAAGTAATTCGAGTGCAGATTTATCGTTAGTTTTGATACACGAACGTAATTTTGAACCAGATGAGTTGAAGTGAAAATTAGATCGTTTCAAGTAAGACAATGCAGGCCATTCATTTTGAGCAGGAAATCCAATAACTCTAAAATATTATATATGATTATTGAATTTTAAAGACCAGATAGCTTACCGAAATATAAGTTTTAACATCTCTAGTTCTGTATCTGCACGGAAAATTGCCTGTAAGTTAAATAACTCTGCTATGATACAACCGGCAGCCCATATATCACAAGGTGATAAGTATTCAGATTGAATTAAAATCTCCGGAGACCGATACCACAGTGTAACAACAATCGGTGTAAGTGAAGACTCCCAGCCGAGTACACGAGATAAACCAAAGTCAGTTATCTTCAAGCGCAAAGTTTCCCTATTGATAAGAATATTAGCCGGTTTAAGATCGCGATGAATTATTCTATGTGAATGCAGGAAATCAGTACCACGGAGCAACTGTTCAGATAAATTCTAAAATAAAGAGCAAAAAAACATGCTTACAGTTGCACAAAACGCCTAGTTTACTTTAAGTACAGAAAAACTAAAAGATTTAGACTTGTGCAGTATCATATGAGGTTTTTAAAAATGACCAGAAGTGCCCTTACAATCGTTTTCGATGTAGCTAGACAGAGTTCAGATAACTATTCGAAGCATTATTAGATTGTGAGGAGAGCCTATAATTTGTGGACGAACCAATCACGTATAAGATAACATGTCTCGGATTTTGGAGCGGAATTCACTCATCCATTTGGCACAGTACCGTTTTGGCATTAAAGCCGATATCAGATCGTGATGAAAACCCATATCTAATCCCTAACTTTAACTATCGACTGTAAATATTAATCCCAATTCTTCACACAGGTTTATAACCCTTATTTGGTCCTATTTATTAGGTGGACACTCTCAAGGTCAGTCTAGAGTCGCTCAAGGGTCATCCATAACTTATAGTCTCACTGATTGTGGTTCAAATCAATATTTTGTAGCTCCATGATTCCAATAGTCTCATTTGACTTCTTACTCAATAATATCAATCATTCTTTATCAAACCCCATAGTCATATCACGGGTGACTTTGAAAGTAAAATGAAGGTTAAGTCACTAAACCAACCATGCAGGATACCCTAGGTTGTACCATTCAGGTTTGGAGACTTTGACGAAGAAAGCAACATAAAAATGATAAACCTGAATGAGTTTCAGAACACACTCTTAAAATAAAAATGTAATTGAGCAAACAATACAAACGCCATATGTGCCTTTCAACTAAATATGCTGCAATCAAAAGTCATTGCTATTTGGTCGGCCAGACAAAAGCCCCTTAGCCAATGGTTGTGAAGTGTCATGATTTCATTCAGTTCATAGCAAAAAGGTATTTACCTCCTGCCAAGGCTAAGACAGTCGGTCAAAGCGTGATACACTAATGTATAATTGTGTGTGCCAGTAACTACCATAATGAGATCAGTATATTGGTTATACATTCATCTATTTAACTACAGAACTGTAACAACTCATGTGTACATATAAAAAAATACCGAATCTTGAACTTACCCTGATGGTTTCAGGTGGAAGGCCAGTCGAAGGTACATGGTGAGAAAGGAAACGAGCTAAATCACAATCAACAAACTCGAAAACAATGTAAATCGATATCCCTGTATCTTGCTTTTTTAATGAAATGTCAAGCATTCTAAAGCGAAAGTAATGCTGAGAAATCGAACATACTGCACGAGGTAAGGGCAATTATAGGACTGCACCTTCTTTAGAACACTAAGTTCACGTAGAGTGCTCAGTGGAATGCCTTCATCATCAGTAGGGATCAGTATTTCTTTTAATGCAACCGTCGTTCCATTTAAAGATGTCCCTTTGAAAACGCGTCCATATGCTCCGGATCCAAGTAGATTTGATACTTGATAATTGCTTTTAAATGGGAATGTATCATAGCTGCTCATCCGTTATAGATCAAACAAACAGTTCAACGCGTATTACGAAACACCGCTTGATCAATTCACCTAGGTCAGTTTACATTTTCAAGATAGAAAATCAGGCAATGTACATGAATTTTGTAATTTTTGTTTATGAGAAGATATAGTATCACTTTGCACGTATCAGCGAAATGTGATAATACTAGGTGTTTTGTTAGATTACACAGTGTGCGATGTTTAAAAGTTCAGCGGTATACTTTTCCCCAGACGTGATTTGATAGTTCTGATTATTTATCGCTCTTCAAGAATAATGTTTTCACTTGAGTTAAATTTAATTTCAGTTAAATTAACACAAATTGGACTTGTTTTTCAGAGGTAATTTTACATCTACAATTTTATCGAGCACATTGTCTTTTATATTTGTTGCCTTTTCGTACATAACAGCCCAAAGTTTCGGTCTCAATTTGGCAAAGACAGGAGGCTAGGTGTCCCGTATGAGTTCTGGCAATGTTCATATCACAGCTGATACAACTTTCTCCCGAATATGTTGACAAAACGTACAAAAACATACTGACTCAACAGGTGACGAGGTTAGCCAAGAAAGAAGGAGACTCTAGACCCCAGCTAATTAATATAACCTTCCCATCCTCTCATATGGCGGCTCTAACTCTGGAAGCATTTCGTGCCAACAGACCTTGGTTGCCAACTGGAATCCATATGCATCCGGATAGGCCACACGATACCAGGATCAAGTACAAAGGCAAGCCGGAGCTGACAATACCAATTGTGGACTGTCTTGATTATAAAAAAATGTGTAAAGGACAGGAACTATCAACTCGGAAAACCTTGTATAGGTAGGCTACCTGTTCACTCACGTAAGGCTCACACAGATAAACAGAAAGCTCATGCGTTCCAAATTGAAAGCATAAACTGCCTATACATGAATGTCGCGAGTTTGCCAAATAAGATGGATGAGCTACGTGAACTCAGCAACGCTAATGATGCTCATCTGATAGGAATATCCGGAACTTGGATATTCTCTCAGTTTACGGACCAGGAGCTAGCAGTACCTGAAATGTCTTTGTTTCGCAACGACAGACAAACAGGAATGGGGGGTGGGTGGCATTATACATACGATCATGCCTGGAGGTACACCAACTTCACAACCAAGAGTTTCTCAATCTAAATGAATAATTATGGTGCTCAGTAAGATTGTCTACCACCTTAAGGTGTCTAGTTGGGGTCATCTACAGGAAGCCCACTGCTGACATCGAGTACGACAATCGTTTGCTGGAGGGATTAACTCGCTCTACGCGTCTCGGATTCTCTCATATCCTGATTCTAAGGGAATTCAATCTTCCTAGAGTCAACTTCGCGGAACATGCCTATATTAGAGGTGAAAACTCTACTGAAGATCGGTTCATCAACCTCATTGAGGATCTGGGATGATTCGAAAATGTGAAGTCAGAAACTTCTTGCAGAAACAGTCAGACGCCGTTGCGCTTAGACTGGGTATTCACAAATGAAGAATCCCTAGTCAACGACCTCTCAATTCTGGCTCCCCTGTATAAAACCAATCACGCCATTATATCCTGAACTTTTGTCAGCAGAACTGTGATGAGATATCCTACCAATTACAGGCACTGAAATTTCAAACGGTTGAATGTGTTAGCTTTACACGACTATCTACAACAAGTGGATTGGGATATTCACCCTCAAATTGGAGTGGATGCTCATTGGGATTTCTTACTGCATAGGCTCTTAAGCGCTACTAAGCATTCAGTTCCTAAAATGGTCCCAAAGAGCTACAAACAACCTACTATCATCAAGAACCGCACTCTTCGTTTGCTAAACCGCAAAGGGCACTGTTGGGCTGAATATAAACGAACTGATAACAGCGCCGCCTTCAGGCAGCACAAATATATAAGAAACATATGCACAACAGCAATAAGATAAGACCGGCTTCAGTGCCAGACCAAGCTTACCGATAAAGTTGTCTCCAATCCGAAAAGCTTATTCAGTTACGCAGCTTCTTTTTGGCAAGCCGAAATGGGAGTTTCCCAACTGCTAGGTCCTAATGCTTCGACCAATAACAACGGTGATGCCGCTAATCTTTTGGCTGAACAATACTCTCGGACATCTCAACCGACCCACATCAACTACACTGATGAAGCTTCGCCTGAACCTCAACAGGACTTTCCGAAGTGAACCTGAGCGCTGACCTGGTGTTCCGTAAACTGCAGCACCTAAGAAAAGACATTTCTCCCGGTCCGGATATGGTTCAATCTGCTATACTGACGGAAGCAGCTTCAATCCTGGCAACCCCGCTTAGCGTGATGTTTTCACACTCGCTAAGTTGAGGCAAACTACCGAAACTTTGAAAGCTGGCTCATATCACACCAATTTTCAAATCATCGACAAGCAGCGAACCCTCAAGCTACCGAACAGTGGCCCTTCTCTCCATACCTTCTAAAATTATGGAGTCCCTGATATGCGATGGGATGCACGGCTACGTTTTATCCCTAAAGTCCTTCTCACCCCAACAACATGGTTTCAGAAAGGGTCACTCTCGTATAACCAACCTGCTTACTGCGGTGGGCAGATAAACAAGCATCCATGATCGTAAGAGGAAGGTTGACACTATTTACCTTGATTTCTCAAAAACTTTTGATAGGGTCAACCATATATATATTATCAACAAGCTTAGACGATTGGGTATCAAACCACCTTTAATTGACTGGCCCGCTTCATATCTAAAAAATCTACATTTTAAGGTCCGGGTTAACTTCACTTTCTCTCAGGCTATTGAAATCGTAGTGGGGTCCCCCAGGCTTCAGTACTAGGACCTGATGTATAACTTTGGAGAGAGATACGCAACCAAGAGGATATATTGGCACTTCAGGAGGACCTGACTTGACTTCAAAGTTTGGCAGACGACAACGGACTTACATTCAACGCTTCAAAGTGTAAAGTAGTCCATCTGCGACATGTTGCAGACTATAGATACAACTTAGGAAACTCCTTTCTACAGGTATGTCAAGTCAAAAAAGATTAGGGAGTGTTGGTACCCTACGACTTGAAATCGTACGCTAACTATGACAAAAACGCCTTCCAAGCAAACCTTACACTGGTAATATTGATGCGCATTTTGGAACAGTTTGGAGGTAGAACTTTTCTCATAATCTTCAACAGTTTTATTTGTCCCCATTTGGAGTAAGGAAACATAGTATTTCCTCCTTCCCTCCGAAAGGATAAGGACACTCCGGAGCGTATCTAACGTCCAGTCATGAAATCAGTTTGTGGACACAAATTCAAACCTTCTGAAGAGCGCCTCCAATCACTTAAACTTTACGCGTTAGAGTATAGGCGTCTTAGGGGTGACCTTTTTATGACTTAGAGTATCCTTAACACTTCTGGCAATCTCCATAAACATTTACTTAAGCTTATTCACAATAATAACCTGAGGGGTAACACCCAGAAACTGGAGACCCTATATAGCAGAACGGACTGTGAACACAACTTCTACTCCTTAAGAGTTGTCAAATGCTGGAATTCGCCTCCATCTGTGCTAGTCCAAGCTACTTCTCAGTAGTTCTTTATGAGGAAACTTGACCTATTCCTAAGGACTAAGGATAACATCTTATTATTTTTTACCAATTTCTTTTTTTCCTATTATCTTCAACATACCTAGGTTCCTGCCTGAAGGTATTGGTGATTCACTGTTACTAGACACGGAAGCTTGTTAAGCGAAAGCTTCTTCTATTCCGTCCACAACCATTCGAACTATTTGAAATGGAGTGTGGAGGCAAATAAATCCCCAAAATAAATAGTTCTGTAAGTCTTTGACATTGATATTGACCTTACTGGTTTTACCGGATACACCATAGTTGAAGTCACTCGGCCGCGCATCCACACCAGATTACGAGTGGATATGTCGGACTGAGTATCCCTTGCTTCTGCTAGCCAGCTTAGACCAAACACCTTCCGATATATCGATGGCTTTCCAAACATATATTCGGACTCCTTCATTTCCGACTTAACTGCGTTGTTATACTTCGATAATAAAATTGTTAAATGTAAAGACATTGTCAATCTCAGATCACCTGTAGCATCCTTAGGAGTTTTACTCACGTACTGAGGTAATGAGTCTCACTCGTTGATGGTTCGATGGGGAAGTCGATGGCTAGCTGATATGTAATTTGTCCTGAACTTGTGAGATATCTTAGATTGTCTCCTTAAATTCATTTTTGGCCCAAATATTTTTCATGAGCAACAGCTTCTATTGCCAATTGTCTTGTGTCTGAGTCGTGAATATGAACGCATTATGACAGGAGAGCTGGAGCGTCAAATTATTGATCTTAATTAATAATGCTAGCATACCATTTTCTGGAGCCAGCATAAACACAATGTGACCTCGTTCGTGGTTGCGTCGCGTGGGATTTGTAGTCGGTGGTTGGATTACCGAGTCAGCATGAACATCTAGAGATATTTTGGGTTACGTTTATTCCTATTAGTGTCATCTAGACAGTTATTTATTATTATAGATATCGTGCAAATATTTTACAAATGAACTAACCTTCATCAATTGCCAGATAAACGGATCATAGTTCATTGTTTGTTCACTCGCTTCTACTTGAAAATCGGGGATAATTAGTAATCGCTGAAAAATTTCCATCATATTAATTGGCAACACTGCATTTCGTTCTCTAGAATATTTCAGTCTCGACACCTAGAAAACCTTATCGTAATGTGATATCAGTTTGTGACAGGAAAGAAACTATCTGACCACCTAAGTCATCGAAAATCACACAGGACCTGACAATGTATGTAACTCAACTATGGCTGTTACTCGTCAGAAAGCTTATAAGTGGGTACAAACCAAAAATAAGGAACGGGTAATATCTTTGAAGAAAAGTCAGTCCTTCGATCTGAAAGCAAGAAATCCTAGTGGGATCATAGTAACAAGACAGTCCTCTTCCATAGAGTCAATAAGAGCGAAAGTTAACAACCCAGAAATCCCTGTGAGCATGGCATTCAATTGACCTAGAATTTGCTTACTCAGCTAATGGTTCAAGGTATCTCTTTGACCACTTTGATGAAGGTTTTTTACACTAGGTAATCAGAGGTTCCTGTAAGAAAAATGAACCAGCCTTTAAAAGACTTCCGAAGTCCGTTAATTTGTGCTGTAAAAACGAAATCGAGAAGCTAGAAATATTTGTGGTG